ATTTTTATCACAACAAACCCCTCAGGTTGCCCTTTTCTAACTACATCCACTGTCTTTCCACCCCACCTCGCCCTCACCCCATAAAACCACTAATCTGTCCTCCATTTCTTGAATGTTAGCATTTTAAGAATATTGTGTACATGGAAACATATAGTATGTAACCTTTTGCACTGGCTCTTTTCACTTTGTGTAGTTCTCTGGCTATTCCTCCAGGTTGCTGCGTGTATTGATGGCTTTTTCCTTGCTTATTACTAAGTACTGTTCTATGGTCCATTGGCTATGCCACAGTTAACCTTTCCCCCACTGAAGGACAGCTGGGGTGCTTCCAGTTTGGGGCTATTACAAATAAAGTTGCTGTGAACATTCATGTACAGGTTTTTATGGGGACATTTGTTTTCATTTCTCTGGGATAAATGCTCAGGAGTGCAAGTGCTGGGTGGTGTGGTATTATAGTTGCACATTTAGCATGTAACTTGCAGTATTGATCCTCTAAAGCCTGTATTATTATTATTTATAGATGAGGAAACTGACGCTCACAGGAGGTAGTGGACTTGCCCATGGTTACATAGCTTGTATGTAGTAGAGCTATGACTTGGATTCACGTCTGACTCCCCACATCCCTACGTTTTCTAATCATGGACTCTGATATGGTACGTAGCCCTGACCTGTATCAGTGTTTGCAATTGGAAGCTGAGGCCACTGTTTCCTCCCAACCTGGAATCACTGCAAATGAGGTGGTGATTCGTGGTCATCAGCTGTATATGTTTTTATCTCAAAGGACAGAAAGCAGATGTCAGTACGGAAGGCACCAGAGTCCCTGATAGACATGATCAAATGAGGACTCCTGGCATTTTTATACAAAGGCAGCAAGTGTTAGGATCCATCTTTGCTGAGATATCGAAAGACTAAGACTGCTTGCCCGGTGAGTCAAAGGCAGAGCCAGGCCTGTATGGCGATAGCTCTCCACCCCTTCCGTCTGGATGCCATTTACCCTTCAGCTTGGACAGCCTTCAGTGCTGGGGCAGGCAGCTGGTGACTGATGGGCCTTAGAAAGCCACAGTCCATCAATTATTGCTGTGTTTCTGGGAAAGATGGTGGGGTCAGGGGGGCTGAGGAGGGAGACAATCCCAGGTGTCGGTTGATCAGGTCATGTCAGGTACTGAAACTCTGCTGGTGTTTATGATTATTAGATGCACTGCGGGGAGTTGCAGCCCCTTCCTGTAACCTGAAGGGTTATTTCTGGGTGACATCTTGACAGGAAGCTGTCCTTTGGGACAAGACTGCTCACTCTGTGTGCCTGACCAACAGTTCATTATTAATACTTGGTGCCCTGATAAGTGGAGTGATGTTACCTGGACGTCTATGATGGAGCTACTGGTTTTTTGCTTTTTTTTTTTTTTCAATGAAAAGGAGGAGGTTTTATAAGCTGTTTGAGAAAATTGCAGCCACAAAATTGCACATCGCTGCAAGAGCAAAAGGTTCTTTTCCACATAACTTTAGAGCCTGAGTAATTTATGCCATTATAGGAAACATCCCTTTTGTTTCAGAGATTTTAAACAAAGGCGGGGTGGTTATCACTGCTTTCTGTAGCCTAAATATTGTTTCTGAGTTAAAATGACTGATTTTAGTGTAGTCCCAGCAGACTATGATAAAGCTAGAACAAAAATGACCTAATTTTAGGCCCCTAGCAATAAAGCCTTTGAAATCAGCTTCTTCCATAACTTAACATCTTTTTAACCTGAAATGATGTTTATTTTCCAGAGGTCAATATTGTTTCTATTATGGTAACGGATTTTTCCAGTTAACGTATCACTCGGTTTCTGATCTCAATATTTAATATGTAATAAAAATGTAATAAGATTCCAAAAGTTGGTCTGATTAAGCTCTCCCTCCCTCTCTTCTTGGCAGATAGGTGATTTGCCACCGGGATTGTGTAGTACAATCTATTGCAGTGATTATTATGTCAATGATCTTTTCTTTGTTTATGTCACCCTACAAATGAGTATATATATGTATACGTATATATATATATATATATATATGTACATATATGTGTATATCATCTCCCCCATATATGAGGACCCTAATAATAGAGTCATAAAATATTATTGCTAGAAGCATATAGGGGAAAAAAGGTGAGTCCAAGCTCCATATTTTATGTGTAAGGAAGTTCCTTACCTGATACCCTGTTTGATTTTTTGGGGGGACCGAGACCCTTATTCTGCACCAGCGATTTTCAATTACCGTCTGGGGAGCAGACCCATCCTTTCCCCACAAGCACAGACACGCTCACGCACCCCCTAAACACATAGACATGTCTTGCTTCGGTCACATCAGATCACTTTTACTTGGATTCTATATTTGGGGGTTTATGTAACATATTGTTTGATCTAATGATTTCACTGCAAAAAAAGCTTGAAAAGTAAGTCAAGATGCTTAATAAGGCTCCTGAGAGCTCTTCCATCAATGATGCATGGTAAATGAGAAATAGCTGGTGTGTGGGTTGGTATTTATGATCGTCTGTGTGACAAGTGTGGCAGCAGTGGAACTGAGAAGAAGCTTATTTTATTTTCTAAGAGTGCATTTAGGCTACATAAGTGACTCGGCGACTTAGAATATGATGTCAAGTGCTCAAAGTACAGGCTTCACTTCGCATGTACTATATAGGATTCTGACTTTTATCTGTATGATTAATATAGATGTACTTAAAGAAACCATCCTGTGTTCGCCCAGAGACAAACAGAAAAAGTGTAATTTTGTTAGACAGTGTGTTTCACAGTTCTGTGATTAAACTGTGTATATGCTATAAATAACCAGGCAGTTATATGTAGGGCACTGATTTAAAGGAGAGTACTTGATTCCAGTTCTTTATGATCTCTTCTGCAGGACTTAAGGAAGGTTTGAAGGGCTACATGCTGTTTTGAAGAAAAGCAGCCTTCTTCCTGGGATAGGGCTCCTTTGAGAACACCTGGCTTTCCCACCGGGCTCCTTGGGTCATCGGAAATCCTACTGTTCCCTCTCAGTAACATCACCATGTCTATAAAGTCAGTCTGTCTGTCTCTGTCTCTCTTCCCCTCCCTCTCTCTCCCCCTAAACACCTACCTATAATTTAATTGTAAATCTACTCGAGGCAGAGGGAGAAGTTATACATACTCTCTGTTTGTATCAAGATGGTATATTGCTAAGCTTAGAGCCCAAGTCCCTCTGTCTCCAGATGCACTGAGTCCTAGAAAGTCTGTGTGCTCTCTGTGGTTTAGGCCAGCAGGGTTAGGGTTAGGGTAGGGTTAGGGTTAGGGTTAGAGTAGGGTTAGGGTGTACAGGCCACCCGGCCAGCTTGAGCCATGAACTCCTTGATGTAACTTATTCTCTTCATGATTCAATCAGTTAATTCCAAAGAATTGACCCTCACAGTCACTGATACCTCTTTTTTGTGTTTGTTTTTAGAGGGACATTAGGAGTCTCTGCATTTGGCAGTATTTAGACGGAGGGGACAAATTCTTTATGATGGCCACTGTTATAATCGGGGTGATGTTTTTTATTTCTATTTTTGTTTTCCTCCTGGATCAGGTCTGTCATAGCT